TCTTTGGCATGTGTCACCCCGGATGGTGCGCGGCTCATGTTTTCAAATCGCCACGCTCCGAAATAACATAGTTTGAATAATAAAAATTCCACCAAATCCTTCCAGGGGAACGGAGATGCGGAATTCTCAAGAGCCGCATAAACTTCACAACATGATGCCGCAAGGCTCGTCTGGTATTACTCGGAGGAAAGGAGATCCGTTTCTGACAAGCAGTTGGTGTGTTCTCAGTCCAGGGTGGGGGGCGGGGAAAGTATCTTCCATTCAAACATAGTAAACGACCTTTTAAATGACAGGCGCTGTGTCCTCTCTGCCTTCCAGTCGGCACTGCAGAACTTAAAATATGAGTAACCTTAAATCCTTCGCGTAGGTCGATGCTGTCAAGCAACCATGACTGTACATTTTTGATATTGATTGGAGTCATAGCTGCAGACGCCTCCTTAACTCTCATCCTTCCCTGTCCACCCATAAAACTGGGAGCGCGTTCTTGTCTTGAGTGTTTACAGAGGGGAGGGGGGAAGCCCATGTATATGTCACAAAATGTACAGTTACTATTCTGACATTTTCAGAACCGCAGTTGCATTTGAACGGGCACATGATCCATGGAGTTAAGCATTTGAAACCCATTTATGTTAACAGAAAACCTTAAGCACATGCCTGAATCTCTGGAATCAATAGGTTTTACAGTTGGTTGCATTGGACTGGATTGTGTTGGTGGTAATTTGAAGACCTCCACAAACCCATTTAATTTTTATCTGTATCATACTCTCCGCCACCACCCCATTTTCAGACCGTATTTCTGCGGAAAGTTCCACCCTCCAACCCTCCAGGTTTTAAAGCAATACCTTTATTTTATTTTATTGCATGCACTCTACGTGTTCATGCCTCAAAGAAGGCCCCCACCCCACGCCACCCCCAATGAATACAGACGATGTGAATTTTTATTTTTATTTTTTTTGCTTTCCAGTTACGGCAAGGCCTAAAAATGGTAACGGTTGATCACAGAAGTGACATAGTTCTTACTGAGGCAAGCAAAGCAACTGGAATAAAATTATTCTTGTGCGTGGATTGGCTGGTCACTTTTTCCCACTGGAACATTCCTCAAAAGCCATTGGTCTTAAATGCCAATTAGATGCTTTTAATCTTCGCAGGTTCCTTTCCCTGCCTCATTAGAAGCCAAGTCTAAGCCAGTTTGAGAGGGTAGCCTGGCCCAGCCAGTCCTCCTTAGCCTCCTCCTCTCCTCCTTTTATTACTCCCTCAATCCCCTGCCCCGCCTCCAGCTCGACCCCGCCTCCCTGTAAAGGGAAGGACGCGGCCACTCCCTCTCCGGCCCCTTTCCCCGCTTCCCCAGTCTGACGCTCCTCGCTCTGGGGGCGGGTCCCAGCCATCCGCTTCTCTGTGCCTCCAGTCACCTCTGTCGGGGATCGTGGGCCCGCCTCCGCTCTGCCTGTGCTCCCCTGCAGGCTCTGCTGCCACGCCGCCACGCCCTCCGACTTGCAGGCGGTGCGCTCTGCCTCCGTCGTATCCAGTTCTTCTGGCAGGGTGAGTACCAACGCTGGGTTGGGGGGCCCACGCTCATGAGAGTCCCAGAACGTTCTGCTGCCGGGCGACCCCACGTAGTCCCGGCTGGACCTGGGACATGAGTCCAGTGGCACCTTCAAGACCAGCGAGATTTTTTGGGGTATGAGCTTTTCACAGTCAACAGTCTTTGTATATGATGAAGGGAGCTCTGACCCTCAAAAGCTTATGCCCACAAAAACTTGTTGGTCTCTAAGGTGCTAAAGATTTCCCTTGCTCGAAAGCCAGTCAAATCTGACTCCAGGGGGCGGTGTTGTTCTCCGTTTCCAAGCCGAAGAGCCAGCGCTGTTCGAAGACGTGTCCGTGGTCATGTGGCCGGCATGACTAGACGCCAAGGCGTACGGAACGCTGTTACCTTCCCACCGAAGCGGTACCTATTTATCTACTTGCAATTTTCTTGCTTTCGAACTGCTAGGTTGGCAGGAGCTGGGGCCAGAGACGGAAGCTCACTCGGTCACGTGGCACTCGGGTCTCAAACTGCCAAACTACAGACCTTCGGGTCTGCAGCTCAGCGTCTTAACCTCTCAACCACCGTGGCCCCTTCTCTAAGGTGCTACTGGACTCGAATCTAACCAAGTCCAAGCTGCAACAAAAGTTGGTGGGCGAGGAGATGGAACTACGGGGCCATTTCTATATGGATGTTGTGGTCCACCTTCCTTACTGCAGCGTTGTTTTGGGAATCATCCCCACGACTTTATTCCTCCCGTTTCC